TGTATGACTGTGTGTAGCACGTATGATTGGTTAATCCATGTGATATGTATTTTATGAAAAGACAATCATTTGGAAGTTTTTATGCGTTGCTTAAGTAAATTTATTTGAAGGTACAACCATATAAACAAGGGAGAACAGAACCCGAGGTTCTGAAAAAACAAAACCTTGTTTTAAAAACACTGTAATATTGTTTAAAATGAGAGCTTTATGGAAAAACAACCACCTTAGAACCATATAGAGTATGGACCACTTGGCTTGCTGAGACTGTACAATGGGAAAAAAACGCTCTGATGGAATAATGCGATGTTTGGACAAAGGACAAAACTGATGATGAGAAATGAACTCTGACTTTGAGAGAGGCACCAGCGGTCACTGTGGCCCTCGGCTGCCTTTGAGTTTCTCACTCTGCCTAATCATTGTTGGAACTGCATTATGTGTTTACTATATGTACTTGTCTCATATTGTTTACCAGATATTTATATCAATCAGCTTCAAGCGAAACATTTTCAGAACATCGCTAGTGACAATGTTATGAATCACATTAAAGCATTGTGGCACCTTTATAGTAGTCTGGGGAATGTGTTGATGTGTGCTGGTACTCATGTCAGTAGATATACAAGCTAAGACAGCTTTCCTACATGTGCATCTGTTTGCTTTTATGTTTTTCACAGAATATGGCTGAGGGCCGAAAGCACAAATCTTCTAGGTTCAAATTATAGTATGCCATCAAAGCCACATCACAACATTATGCTATTAATAGCTGTCAAAAAAGTACAAGAGTAGCTGCCTTGGAGACATAAAAGAACATTTGTAAAAGGTGTGAGTTAGCAAAGTAGGTTTACTACAGGTTTACCAATGTAAGAGTCTAAACTGTCGTTTTATTTTTCCCAACAGAGACCAAACTGAGAGCTAAAATTTTTTTAAGAATGTGTTTTCTTGACAACACTACAAAAACACAACACAAAATTGGTCACTTACAGACACTAAGAATTCAAAATAAGAAAGCTGATATTATGTATTTAACAATCTCTGTTAAAGAGGCTGGAGAAGAGGAAGAATGAATTGTGCATCTATGTTTATTTAAGAAGCTTTATTTAATGATGAACCACAGGACACAGGTATTGTACATGAAATGCGACACCAAGGATTTGAGATTATTTGTGTTCAGCATGTTACAGAGTAACATGGCATTGATAGGATGACTGGAAATGTGTTTTATGCTTACAGTACATATGGATACATTATGTTATGATGTTTTCTACAACACTTTTGAATATGCTGGATCTTTACTTTAAAAGTTGAATGGGACATTGCTGTGCTGGAGGTGGATTTAGTGTATAAACTTAGACAGTTGGTCTAAAGTATCATCTGTCAAATTTCCAATGTGAACATCACTGTATACATCATGAAGGAAACATTATGGACCTATCCATGGTAGCTCTCTAAAATAAACTATTCTATTTTGTAATGGCTTTTTTCATGGCTCATTTGAATATTTTAGAATATTATACAGATAAATATATAAAGGAAAATAAGGCAAGTGGCTTATAAATAGGGCATAAGAGAGATTGTGTAAAAGTTTTAAAACAGCGATATGAACAAAGGGCTTTAAAGAAAATAGAAACCAAATCAGAGCCAGCACACAGCTATTTTACACAGTCAGACCTATTTGCATGGTCTGGAAGACAAAATGATTATAGGTGACACTTGATCCTACAGTGCAGAAATGACCTGATTCTCTCAGCCACAACAGAGACATAATTGGGATGCATAAGAGCATGAGTTACACAGAAGAATTTGAAGAAGAACCTGATCCGGTGCAAGCATGCTGAAAAGCTGGGGGAGGGTGGGAGAGTGTGTCTGGGTAATCTCCTTATTTCAGGCCGGAAATCATTGATCTTGAGCAAAGTGGGGGGGGGGTCCAGACTGGAAGCTTTAAAGGAAAAGTAGAAAGTCATGTCAAGGGTACAGATAGTTGGGGTTGGAACATATTTATTTGCCATCATCACAATCTCTGACAGAAAAGAAGAAGTGAAAGGAGAATCACACAAATTGCAAAAGCGGATCGATCATCGATTGATCATTATGCAAATGAGAATACTTTTGGGTTATTAACCTTACCTTACTATCACTATCAAACTGAAAGGTTTTCTTAAAAGTATTCCCCAGCATAGTCTGGAATCACATCTCAGGTATATTTCATAGCCCAACTTGTTTCTCCAACAAAACTAAAGCTGAGTTTTAAAAACTAAATGTGACATATTGCTTTGTAACATTTTAAATAATTCTATTTTGTAACTAAAAATTATGGTAATTCTTCACACTTGACGATACCACGACTATTGTTCACATTCTGAAAATTCACTGCGAAGAGGCACACACAGTAATCTTGTGTTCACACACACAGACGCACAGACATGGCTTCACATCAACAAATCTGTTACATTTTTTTTGCATTTTACTTCAGTAGCTCCTCATGGGACAGACTTATACAGAATGCGTCCTAATTCTGACTCTGCTTGTTGGAGTGCATCAGAGCACATTTGCAGCACAGCTAACTCATCTTGACTGGTGACTCCAAAATTAGGACAAAATCCAGATGTATGACACACAAGAAAATTGGATGCTACAGCTTTTTAAAAACTTTTGATGAACAAAGGGTTTTGTCAAAAAGTACAAGTCCTCTGTTTGATGTCACATACACAGCGTCAGATATCCATCCTTGTGCAGTCAGTTCAAGCTTCTTCATAACAGTCAATGAAATGAAGGTTGTGCATCATAATAATAGTTTTGTGAGCAATTCAAAACCAATCAAGGCTGCCTAGACATGTTGCCATGGTGTCTTTTTAGTAGAAGAAGAAGAAGATATACTTTATTAAATGTAAATAAAAGTAAATGCCCACCAATCCACAAAGTGACAGGCAACAAAGCTAAAACGGTAAAGGGCACACTTCTCTTTCTTTTATGGTTTATATAGGCGTAGCTGTGAGGCCTGTTCTCCTCCAATCCTTTCCAGGATCCCTCTGCACTGAAGATAGAAATCATTACGTCACACAGCTTCTCATCTGATCTGTTGGCATCACAACACCCATGCGGTGGAGATACACAGCAGTACTGAAAAGGGGTCCCACGTACAACCCTCAACATAAACCTCAACATCTGACTGTTTGAGTATCACTGCAAGCAGATGCTGAAAGTAGGAAAATAAGCCAGACAGCAATTTCGAATGTCACAATAGAGAATTAACTTTTTGAAAGTTGGCGTGTATAGAAAGGCTGAGACACCACTGTACAAACTGATGAAGTGAACTGTTATGCAAGCTGTTAAAGCTGCCAATGCAATATGCACCTGGCAGCACCTAGAATAGAGGAAATAATGTGCTAACTTGGATTTTACATGATTCATCCACACTTTATTAAAGTGATTTTGTTCCTTGAAATCCCTGACACTGATCATTGAGACATTCACCTTTCCTCCATTGAATGTATTTTCAACTTTCTCACCTTAAAGAACTTCATGAACACTAAATGCATGAAATGTTTGTGTTCACTCAGTATGACAGGATCAGGGCCAGGAGAAAAAGACTGCTTACTGACCAACTGCACATGACAGCAGGTCTTACATTAATCAAGTTATTGCAGTTTTTTGGAAGAGCATTCTCTCCAATTTCCTGTCTTAACCAAATTTAAATATCTGTCTTTGGAGAGCAAGAGAGAGAGTCAAACATCCAGTAAACACACACATTTTCATTTTAAGTGTAGCCTATGTCAGGGGAGAGTGATAAAATTGATACTTTTTGGGGCATGGGTATGTCAAAAAAGTTACTCTTGAAATGTGAACACAGCTTGATGCTGGACAAAAGGCCACTGCAGTCAAATTCTCATCATAAAGATCCCTGTTCTCCCATCAGCTGGTGGGACAGATCATACTGGGAACATAGCCAAAGGCAGGAAATAACTTCTGAATGTGTGTGATGGACACTCTCCATGCAGCTCACTACATTATGGGAAGAACAGAGATTTATAAGAAGGGCATGGATAGATAAGGCTTACACTATCAAACAGCTGTGGAAGACAAAAGTGAATAGTCATTCTATCCAGGTAGTAGAGGAGAGTGACTTTTGCCCTTTGATAATTATCAACCATTCACACATTCCTTTCTCTTGAGCTCAGAGTGAACATGCATAGCCTTGGGGTGTACCGTGTCTGCTTCCTTCTCATTTCCATTGCAAAAGGCTACTAATGAGCAGTCACTGACAGAGGGCAGCTGATCACCCTGGAATACACAAGGTTAAAAAAAGGTTCACTCACTCTAAAAAGTCGAAGAATGTGAGAAATCTGTGACAGCCTTTGAACATCTTACCTCAAAGTGTGAATAATGTGTAGGGGACATTTTTGTAGGTTGTGACAGGAGTGCTATTTTTAAAACCTCACACTTTTGCTTTAATCTATCTGACTTCCCCTGCATGTGACATCCTGATGTGCATTGTCCTATTTGTGCCATTGTCACTGGGTCCTGTTAGCCTTGTTAGCTTGTGTTTTCTATTTCTCCATCTAAATTTATTGAGCTGTCTCCCTATAATAAACTCAATGCACCTCTAACAATGACTATGCATATTTCCCACTCAGTGCCCAGGAGTCTAAACGGTCTAAGCACAGTACTTTGGTAGAGAGATGACATTGCTATTTACAATATAAATACAGCCTTAACTGCTCAACATTGCAAATATGGGTTAAAAACAAACCATTTTATATTGTTTCACTTTCAGTCTGTTAATATCTATTAGACTGAAACAACATGAAGTGGTTGGTATTAAAGCTTTTTATTATGACTTATTTTCTAATTTCTTTTCTTCATATTAGAGTTCATGACACAGACCTCTTCTTTAGAGGGTGAAGGAAATGAGCACGGGCCTGTGTGAGCGGCCCCCATGCTGGCAGCCTGTGTCTTTAAGGAGCCATGTAAAGAGGGCGTGTTCAAGCACACTACTGAGGCAGGAGGGTTGTAGTGAGTTATTGCGCTTCAGAGCAGCCGCACCGCTTCTGAGGATGCCGTGACAGCAACAGAAACATATATTTGAAAAAAACAGAGACGTCTGCGTCTAATATATTTATTTGGATTCCCGAGAGTTGAATTGAGCGGGGTTTTTTTTTCACGTCTCCTTTCGTTTGATGAACGCATCCCCCCCCCCTATTGTCAACCTGCTGGGGGCCTAAAAGTGAGGCAGCACCCGGCTTTATGAATGGGATGCTCGGTAAGTGCGTGGGCTTCAATGTGTGTACTTGCACTTCAAACTTCCACGACATGAAATGTATCTTTTTTTTTTTTCCTCGCAGCTCAGATGTGTGTTTAACAGAGCGGCTTTATTCAGCGAGTCAGCAGAGACGCACAGTGCGCACAAGGCAGCTGACTCTTTTGTGGTCAGCTACTTATTGTTCTCCTGCCATTGACCCACCCAGAATCAGAGCTTTATTGTTATGGAATCGAATCACTGCACAGTGATACATGCAAGAGTCGATTGAGTGCTGTCAAATGGACACTTGAACGTATTTTTGTACTCTCTGAAGCGTTTCTTTGTTAAGGTATATAAGTGGTCTCGCTAGAATCGAGCTTATTTGTTTGCAGCCCCTCAGTAACATTTTTGATATCTTCTTGATATTAGCTCATTTGGGAATGCTTTGAAGCTGGAAATGATGCATTGATTTATGTCCTTTTTTTTCTTTTTTACTTTCACTTTTCACCAAAGGAACATTCTATAGGAGAGCAGATGTTCAGCTTCAAAATATTCTAAATTAGGCCAAACATGTGGTTGGATGACATTTTGATTTGCAGTGCATATTGAGTGAATGTGATGTACCTGTACAAATGCATGTTTTTTTCTCAATACTAATACATTTAAACTTAATCAGTGAGTGAAATGTGTTTTCTTGGTAGTAGAGGATCCTGAATTGGCACCGATGACAAAAAAAAAAATCATACATCGCACACTTTGTTTCCCAGAATGCAATGCACGCCTGTCCTGTTTGTCCAGTTCATTACCCACGTATCTCAGTGCTGGTCAACTTGCCAGTCCTGTTTGCTTGGGAGGGGTGTCACAATGGCATCTGATGGTGCTCATTGACTGGGATAATAAGGTGATGGGCCTTATGTTTGTAGGCCATCACTCCATCACCGTCATGCTGATAAGAGCTCCTCAGCAATTGTTTGAGGAGATAATATTGTCAGAGGTCTCCGCTTGTGAGGCAAATTGGGTGGCTTTCTTTTGTTTTCACAGGCTTAAATATGACTTTTGACCAGTCTTATCCGAAACACGCAGAGGGCTTTTTTTGTGTGAGATGTCAACTCGTTCTGCCCGGGACACTGATGGATTTAGGTTGACGACACAGCAAACAAGCATCACCAAGATTTATGTGTCATAGGCTTAGCTTGTTTACTTTCCCCCCCTAGAAGTGCCTCTGAAATGGCTTTCAGAACAGGCGACACATTTTTAACTCGCCCGCACAGGTTCTGCTTGCACTACTTTCTTCTGTTTCTTAAATTACAAAGCATCTAATTGCCTGCAGGAGACATGTGTTTAGTGCCTGAAGGTGAAAGTAATCCTTCCTCCGTGTGGTGTTGGACACTTTGCCAATGCCAAGCACTCTGTTATTGGGCACAACACAGTGTTGTAGACAGTGTTTGCTGGCTCGTAGCCCAGAGAACACAACCTGCTCAGAATTTAGTTGACTAAAGTGAGCGAGTTTGTGCAGCTTACTTTCATTTTTTTCCCCCTTCTGTGGTAATGCTAAAGTGTAACTTTAGTGTGTCATTTGTGGTCGGTGAGTGTAAAGTCCTGCATCCATGTTTGAACGTGTCTGCAGCTTGTGTGCTCATTTGAGGCAATGTGTGTGTCCCGTCCAGCCCCTTCACATTCCAGGAAATACCAATATAAACTGTTTTTTTTTTTCCTGGAATGCCTCTGAGGATGGTGATAGTGAACTTTTGGATTATTATAGAGGACGCGAGGGGTCTTTTTGAAGGATGTGTAGCGTAAATAACATGTTTGGTTGTTATTATTGCTCTTAGTTATTACCACATAAATCCCATCTTGGTGGGAAATGTATCAGTTGTAGAAAACTTGGATGATGTTTGACTTGTGACATAAAGCAACAGTTCAATAGTACAATGACACCTACTTTTTTTTTTCTAACCTTGTCCCAACATGAAATTCTAGGGGCGTCTCATATGTCAGTGTATTCATGCTGTGTTTGTTCCTGAGTCTTTTGTTTGGTGGCATTGTTTTCTGGTCTTATCCAGCTTGCTGCATTGTGACCTGGTGGGCTCGGGTTGGTGTTATGAGGCGGAGGAAATGTTTATTCTTTCTCTGCCATCCTGTTTCCTTGTCACTATAGTTGTAAATATTGGATGCAGTTGATATTGTCGTAGCAGCAGACAATGACAGGGGCTTATCGTTTTAAAACTGCGCAAAAGCTATGATGGCAGACCGGAAGACTAGTGTTTTTTGACAAGTAAGTCAATTTTGGTCTCAGTTTGAACATTTGGCTATTTGATTTGATTTATATTAATCAATTAATTGAAGATTAAATTCCGAAAGAGAACCCATGAACAGTCCACTTATTATCCAGTTAGTGCGTCTGCTGCTATGTACGCAGTTGTGTCTTGTATTTTTCTTGTAAGAGAAAAAAATAAACCCTCCCCTGTTGGATAGCTGCTTCTTTGGCTTCCATCCAGCCTGTTTATTTTGTTGCTTTTCTGCTGTTCTGACCCTATAATTATGGCACTCTCACACTTTAAAGCAAGTTTCTCTGGATCCCATAATCTTCCCGCATTCTTTCCATTGAGAAGCAGCACCGGTTTCCACTCGAGAGTTTCAAAATATACAATAACCTTGCTCGTGTTCTGCAGCTCTAAAGAGATACCTGGCCTGGTCTGTCAGTCTGCCCTGGGCAATGATACGGACACCTGGGCCCGAGACCGGAGCTGTCATCAGCGGTGATTCAGAAGATCCGGTTGTGTTCGGCTTCTACAATAATTAAATATCGCTGAACCTGAGGCGCTTCATGTACTGATACATGTTTCATTCAGGCCTGTTGTTAAACACACAGTCCCAGCACTGTCCAACAACACTGTAGATTATTAAAACTGTGTGTTGATGGAGATATGAGCTGTGTTTGTTTGGTTAGCCCATCAGTAATACAGTACGATGGAGGACAGCCATGTTTACATTATGAGTGGTCAGGAAGGGCAGGCTGAGTAGATTTCCGCAGAGATGGGAAGGTTTACTGCCTTATTTTCTCCCTGCCCTTCCTGTGGATGTACCCCTTAACACGCCAATGCATTTCTCCATAAAACACTTACAACTATGTCTGTGTAATCAGGGATTTTGAGAAGCAGTGGGCTAATTGCTGAAGTAATACGTTGGCATTCTGTACTCGGATGTCTCTGAGGAGACAAGGGGGGCAGTTAATGATGACCTGGAGCTGGCCGTTGATCCTGCAGGTCCAGCTGGATAAGATTTTCGGGGAGATTTTAGCCATCTCTCTAAACACAAAATAATGTTAAGTGGTTATTTCTGGCATGCGTTTGTGTTGATATTGCCAGTGTCGTGCTCTCTGCACAGTCTCTCTGATATGTTGAGACACTCTAAATGCCTGAGTGGTGCCAATTTCTGCCGTCACCCCACCACCACCCTCTTTTGTATTTAGATACCATGCCCAGCACACAGATGACGTTGATGTTGAGCCATGCTGGCTGACATTTCAGTTGCATGTCTGTAACTTTTATTCAAATCAGAGACGATAGCACAGAGCAGGGATAGACAATACTGTTTGTGTATAAATAAAGGGCATTGTAGATACAGGAAAATGATGTTTATAAGTCTTGTTTAGCCCAGAGAATACTCTTCATTCTTGAGCGTGTCAGAATGGAGTACAGCATTCTTGTCTGCCATCCGCTGTTTGTGTCTGTAATAAAAGCTGTCAGTTTCATCAAAGTGGAGGACGGAGAGGAGAGATGGAGTGTCGTGTCTGGAGGCTGTGTTGGCTGTAAATGTAAAAGAGACAAGTCATCTCCTCTCGGGTATCAGAGGTCAGCTGGTACACATCGAGCTGACTCGCTGCAGGCCTGTTCTCTGCCAAGAACCCTTTCATTGGCTGTCGGGGCTCTTTTGAATGCTGCTCTAGTCCTGGTCATCATCCATCCATCACTTTTCCCTCCTTCTCGCTCGCTTGTCTGATCTGTTCGTGCTCTTTTATAGTTGGCATATTGATGATTATAATGACGCTTTCAAGGTTGAAGTGTTGCTCCTTTTTTTTCATGCAGCTACTGTTTCACACTAATTATAAGGAATTAACAGTCTGTTCAGTTGAGTAATCATTTCTCAAAAATGTTATTTTTAAACACGGTTACGGTTCTTTTGAGTTTGTTCTTCCAGCCCAAGCTGCTCACCTCAAATATTCCACTCCTCGATCTAAGGATAGCTACAGATTTAGCACTCACTGATATGAATGCCAATTCAAAAAAAAACCTTACAGGCCCTTTTATTAGCAGGAAAGCTCTAACAATCTGTTGTGCTTTGATCCTTACCAAGCAGAATGTCCTGCTGGGTGAGGTGTGACATTAGCATAACAGACCGTCTCACTCTAACTCGCCAGGTATGAGTGGGGATGGAAAAAACACAGTTTTTTTTGCTGTCTGTAATTCACACAGACAAGATTTCTATCGACTCCTTCCTGTTCTCAGAGGCATCGCTTTGGTTTTTAGAGAAGCCATATAAGTATTGTGTTTTATTTATATCCCTATGGTTAAGCAGATAGAAAATAGTTGTGTATCTATGTAGGCAATTTCCTGTCTATCTAGGTATGATGATTTATCTTGTCTGTGAAATGTCAAACAATGAAAGGTTTCGATCACAGCTCCCCAGAGTCTAAAGTGACTCCTACTGATTAATGATTATCAAAATGGTGGTCTATGAACTAATCGTTTCATCTCTATATCTCTCAAAGTGTGATTAAAAACAGGTTGGTCACAAACAAAAGAAGCAGGCTTGCTCTGGCCAAGATTGGTGTGAACAGGACCTGGTCAGTCAAAGTCTGTTACCTTGCTTGGCCATTTCCTCATCATCAATTCCAGCATTTCACAGCACCACATTTTGAATTGGCCTTGCTCTTTAGACCACAAAGGATTTACACTTTGATCAAAATGAGCCCTTGGCTTTCTTGCAGTATTGGAACTTCACGGTGGAGAATGCCATGGAAAATGGGTTTGTAGGGCAAGGAGGGCACTCAAGATACCCTTTGGGTCAACAACTTGATCTGAATCCACAACCCCGCAAGCAAATGGCATGCTGCTTAGTGACCTACATGGGCTAATTAAGCAACAGCTAAATCTGGCTTTTATGTAAGTAGGAGGGCTTTATTTGTAAATTTTCATTAGAGCCCTATTTTCTCATTGCTGTATTTATCTCAAAGGGCAGAATTAGCTGGATGTCTGTTGTTCCCTGTCTGTGTGATTGAGAGATAATGTGATTTCCACTGTTTGTCCTTGGGCTGCTCTTCCTAAATGAGATATTCAGCCCAGCTAACTGAGTTGCATCGCAGATACCTATCTTTTAGGGGCCATTTGTCTGCTTAATTACTGGAGCATGTGTGCTATTACTGAGCAACTGTATACTTCTTCCTGGTGGTGCACTTTAAACATATGGGAATGAATGAGAATTTTCACTAGCAAATGGGATGTTTGCAAATGGTATGATCGTCGGGGTGATTTCCGGGCAGAGCAGTTTGTCAAAAGGAAACCAGCAATTTCAGTCCCTGTCTGTCCACACAGATTTTGGGTGCATGTGGCCTCCCACCCCCTAATGTCATTTCACCCTCGGGTCATGCGGTTGTCCATCCAGGTCAGTGCCTTCAAATGAGGCAGACAGAAAGCCCCCCCACCACCACCACTACCACCTTTTACCCACTGCAGCAGCTACCCTCTCTCAGACACTAGAATACACACTGGATGAAATAAGTACCAAGAAGACACATCAATACTCAATTAAGGAAATGGCCCATTAGTCATGTTTGAGAGAGAGTGTGTGTGTGTGTGTGTGTGTGTGTGTGTGTGTGTGTGTGTGTGTGTGTGTCTGTGTCTGTGTGTGTGTGTGTGTGTGTCTGTGTCTGTGTCTGTGTCTGTGTCTGTGTCTGTAAGTGATCTCTTGTGTATTTGTGTTAACCGGCCTTGTGTGAGAGATGTGAAAAGTAATGTTGGTCTTAAGCACAAATTATCCAGGATGTCAATATTTCTTTCTCATGTTGAACAAGAGTCTTTGTCACGAATGTAAATTCAGTCTTCTGATGTTTTTTTTTCTATGGGAGTGTTTTTTGAATCCTACACATGCTTTAGCTATGACTCAAAAAACACTTCCTCTTGTGTAGCATCCTCTCTACAGAGTTAAGAAATGGCTGCAGCATTTCCTTTGAGATTCAAAATTCTCCCTCACGAATATACTCAGGTTGCTGTCTGATTTAGTGCTCCCTTTTTCGTGCCTTTTGAGTAAAAGAACCCACTTCTATTTACCTCCTTCCTAAGTTATTTCTGTGCCTTTCCCTCAGAATTGGGTGTGTATATTCTTCCCACAAATTAGTGGCTATAACCATATGATATTTAAGCAGTTTTGGAACCCTCCTTGGACCCTGGCTTGGTATTTATATTGATAATTGAGTTATATGATCTATAAACAGAACTACCATTACATTCCCATGACATAAATACATTTGGGTAAATGGGTTGGAATATCATTTACGCAAGCAGATGTGAAAAGATGAGAGAAGTGAAGCAGCATTGGCGGCAGTTTGGAAACCTTCCCAGTGTGCTCAAGTTTATCACAGTGTGTTTACATGCATGCACTGCTCCTTTTTACTCTGGTAGTTGAGACATACCACATCATGACTGGTCCGTCATCTTTAAAATTGCCAGAGCTAAAGGTCTTTAGGTCAGTATGCAGTGTGTGTGTTAGTTTTCTGAGAAGCTTGTGGACAGTTTATGATTTTGCTGTCAAAAAGAAATGATGCAGATGTGCTTTGTTAGCTCGTCCTGTCTGTTTCTGTCCCACATTCTGTGTCTCCACTGGGGCTCTGCTGCAGCCAGACCCTGAGTGTTGTGAAAGTCTGTTTATAAAGTCAACCCCCCCGTCTGTGACCCCGTAGTTCCCACGCTAACTGCTGCCTTCTCGGACCTTTTTCCCCTTTTTCATTCACGTGTAAACCCACACAAAGTCACACAAAGCTATAAATATAGGAGGCCACCGTATCAGTTTTGATGTAAACGGTGAAGGTTTGTGCTTCTGCATGCAGAGCTACTGGATCAGATTTAGATTAAGATGATGAAGAACCTGTGTCCTGGCAATGGGCACATTGAGCTGTTGAGAATGATCCTGGTCTAGTGGAGGACAGAGGAGTAGGAGGCAGGCTTTCACCATCTCCCCTTGTTTCATCCGCTGGATGCTTTCCCTCGTCTGTTTATGCCACCCAGAAGCAACTAGTCAGTTGTTTTTTTGGCTGGGTGTGAATTATTTCCCCTCATTATATCACCCCCAAAAAATCTGAACATGCAGCTTCAATAATAAATATGTTTCTGCAAAAAAAGTTGCCTTGTTTGTGTGTTTTGGCACAAAACCATTTGCAGTTCATGGAAAGTTTTCACATTGTGTCTAAGCCTCAGTCAGATATTCTGCAATCATATTTCTTTCTCTTAATACCTGCCTCTATTTCCTTACAGTGCTGGAACATTTGTGTATTTTTATTAATTTCCATTTTTACCAATATAAACACACATAACTTAGATGAGGTGAATGTGTATAAATATGTATGTAAAACATGGCAGACATCAGGTTAAAAGGGTGTTTTGTCTGAGCTCTAGGTTGACACAGAACGAGGCCATGTGTTGCATGCTTGTATGAAGCCTGAAGCCTCCTGCAGCCCCAGACAGGAAATGCTGTTGCTTGCTTGCAGGAGGGTGTTTCCATGGAAACCAAAGCAGGTGAGGGCATTAACAGGAAGAGGAGTAGAGGCTCAGCTGGCAGAAGAAGGGGGGGGGTGGAGACAGAAGAACGAGGTCAATGCACTAAAAAGCCTGTAACATGAAACAGCTGAAATCTCCCAGTGGCACTTCTACTTAGAACAACTCTGACTTAAATATCTTTTGAAGGCTTGCCTGTAAGAAATCCAAAGTCAAGGTGAAGTTGCTGACAGTTTTTAATGATCTTCCTGCGTTAGTGCATCTTTCTTTCTTTACTCACACTATGTGCAAGCCAGAGAGGTGCACACTTAAGATGGCAAGGTAAGCATTTTCTTCTTCAGGCCAGCTTACATGTAACGATAGAGATTTTCCACCCGCAAGACAGTGTTTTTAGATGTCCGTCTGTTGAAATTGCTCGCACTTTACAGACCACCGTGGCAGTGCTTTTTTTATGTGTATTTTATATGTTTTGGGTGTGTTGCTAATGACAGTGTAGCCCCTGAGGAAGCACCCGTGGCTAGCTGACAGCCTGCGGTGAGGTTTCCTCTGTCTGGGCTGCATGTTTTCAATAATGCAGAAACACGTTTTCTATCAACTGTCAGTTACAAGCGTCTGGGAGCCTCAGTGTTGTCTCAGAAAAAGAGGAAGGAGGTGGATAGGGAATATTATCATTTCTCTGATCACAATTTCATATACATTTGTCAAAACTATGCTTCTGTGACTGATGAATAGCATGCTCAGTTGAGTGGGGTGTTATTGTTCTCTGATGCTGGTATAATTGAATTTTTTTTCTGTGACTAGAAGATTAGTTTTTGGTCATATACCGTTTGCGGTGCAGTCAAAGTTGAGCTTCGCACTAGAAAATCCCTGGCAGCACTCAGCTATCCTTCTCCGATTTATATTGGTCTGTGGTTGGTGTTTTGCTCTCAGTTATAATGCAGCTTTAAAGCAAAATGCTGTGGTGTGTTTTTTTTTCCCGTTTTTTTTCAGTGCATTTCAGAGGTCATCTCTGTGATTTGTAGCATGTTGCTTATCATTATGGACTTGTATAATTGATAGCTTCAGCTCTTAGTAATTAGTGGAACCTTTGAAATTCCTAGAAATGTTTTTATTTACATGATGGGATTAAACAGCCAAACGTGAATATTCTACACGCACTATTACGTGGAAGTTGTGCAGTAAATTGTTGTCTTTTAGGTTACCCTTGATTGATTTTATGTTTTGTTGTTGGTATGTGGTTGGCATTGAGATGCTATAGTGCATGCTCTCTGTTTTAGTAATTGGGGTCTTATTTGGTTTCTTTTTTTTTTCTTGTGGTACTTTTTGTATTACATTTTGACCAATGTATTCACTTAAAAGGTCATTTTTATTTATATGGAAAGATACATTTATCAGCAAAGTTCAATTTAAATAAATTCTGTGTGATTTATTCTATTCTTTTTTTTTTTCCTATTTCAGGTTCCCATGCTGACTGCAATTGAAGAGCATAAATATTCATACTAAGATCTCTAACAAGGATTATATTCAAGATTTGGAAGCTCTTTTCGTCACCTTGACTACCTCTTTGTGAAAAACTAAACAGCTAATCAGCAACCATGCCGATCCTAAAGCAACTAGTGTCTGGCTCCCAGACCAAGCGCCGCTCACGCATGGACCTGACCAGGGAGATGATCAGTGCTCCACTGGGCGACTTCCGTCACACCATGCATGTAGGCCGCAGTGGTGATGCGTTTGGAGACACCTCCTTCCTCAGCACCCGCTCGGGGGAACCTCCCCCAGAGACCACATCTTATCCCAGCTCTCCCCGTCCTGGCCTCCTGTCTCGCACCTTCAGGAGCAGCAAACGCTCCCAGTCGGTGACCAGAGTGGACCAGCAGAGAGACAACACTCTGATGGTCTCTGGTGGGTCACCCACTTATGTGAAGAATGCCATGTCTCTGCCCTTCCTCAATGACGAAGACAGAGGGGACATTATGGTGGCAAAAAGTCTGTCCTCAAGTCCTTTCAAGCAGCAGGGGGAGGTGGATGGGAGAGGTGCAACCGCAGCTACTCACTTCCTGGAGCTGGAGGAGCGAAGCTTCGGTGAGCTGACTGAGCTTCCGGAGAGCTCCCGCCACTTCGGAGCAGGCATGAAGCACGCCGAGTCGGTGATGTCTTTCCACGTCGACCTGGGACCCTCCATGCTGGGTGACATCCTGGGGGTGATGGAAAAGGAGGAAGACGATCTTGGCTACGAGGAGGGCAAGAGCAGCGAGGGCCACGCCTCACCACCTCTGAGCACCCACGGCGAGGAAGAGGATAGCATGGAGAGAGAAAAAGATGAGGATGTGGAGGAGCAGATGGAGGCAGAAGAAGAAGAAGAGGAAGAAGCAGCAGAACTTCTGCAGCAGAAGAATCCAGGCAGTTCTATCGATCTGGGACCTGAGAATGGAGGGCCCTACACCCCAGAGTACACTCCCGAGACTCGGCCCAAACACTTGCAGCATCTTGACAGCTGCTCCATGTCCAGCTCTGGCTCTGCTGCAATGGATGAGAAACCAAGCAGCCAGATGTATGCAGGAGATACAGACAGCGCCACCTTCAGTGCCCCACCAGAGGAGGAGAGCAACTTCTCCTCTTTCTTGGAGGATGAAGACGATGAGATCCGTGTATGAGAAGAAGCCTTTTTGAAAGGGGAAAAAAAGGACAAAGATCTGGACGGGGTTTGTGTGAAAATGGCAAGTCCTTTGACGGTGTGGATTTGCACTTGAACGGAAATAAGTCGCTGTTGTCAGAAATTGTGGGAATGGAACAGTGAAGAAGACTGAGGTCTCCTGCAAGGAGAGAGTGACTGCTCTTTTAGAACGAGCCCCAGCTCTATCTGTCAGAGAGCCTCACCCTCCACTCTCTGTTTGTCTGTCAATCTGTTTTTCCCTTTTGAACACTGAGGGAACTGACATGGAAGAGCAACCACTTTTTAAATATGGAACATTCCAGAAGTAAGGAGGGAGGACTGGTTAGAAAGAAACTTTTGTAGGAAAAACACTTTCCATAACTAAAGTGCAGTTCACGCTTTCTCTCTCTCTCTCTCTCTCTCTCTCTCTCCCCTCTCTCACTTGACGTGTCACATGTGCTTTTTTCATTTGATTCGCCTCTATTCTTGTTGTGCTTTCTCTCTCTGGCTGTGGGACATCAAGAGGCCTAAGCTGAAGAAGAGGCCTCTGTCACCACAGGATCACTGGTAGGTATCTTGTCACAATAAAGGGGGCTGTGTTTGGCACTGGAGTGTGAAGCCCTGCCTTGAGACCCTTTCATCTAAAACTATTATAGTGAAGTGCCATGGATCTGTCAGTTTTTTCCCTTATGTAACTCAGGGTCCTTGTGACGCCGCTCAAAGGCTGCCATTTCCTGCTGTAAAGCTGGACCACAAAGCCCAAAACCAAAATTCTCTTCTGTTTTTAATTCACTGTGAGCGCCACACAGGCTTAATCACAGTGTAAATTTGAGAAAAGCAGGGTTGTAAAGCTAATGGAGATACATTGGCCTGAATTAAGTATAGAGCATGGTGTTACTACAGGAAACCAGAGGTGTAAACCGTGGTGTGGGTGGCACACTGGAGAGGGACTGTAACTGTGTTTGTTGTCTCTTTTCCAATGATAAGATGCTTCTTTTTTTTCACCCTGAAGCCATAATGATGACGATTTTACAGATTTACGTGAACTGACATGAAACGGCTATCTTCCTCTGACTAATCTGTCATTTCAAGTTGACTCTGAAAAGCGCCTGATAACCACTTCCTTCCTTGTTTTCATACATCCGAGCAGCTGCAGTGGTGCAACAAGATGTTGATCCTCATTAGTCCAGGGGCTGCCTTAATATATAACACAGATTCCACTACTACTCACAAGGAGGAGGGCTTTAGGGTATGTATTGTTGGAAAATCAGTGCACCAACAGGCACAATTAAACCAGACACTAGTAGTATTTGGTGTTTAATACCTGTTGTTTTTTTATCTTAGAAAAAAAAGTGCTATATTTGTGTAACGTCTGAAGAGTGGATGAAAAAGAAAGACACAGGCAGCAATAGATGCAAGACCATTAAGAAAAGATTGCTATTTTTATGCAAGTTGCACAGTCATTGCAGCTTCACTCTATCTCTTGCATCATTAAGCCATGGCCAGAAGTATTGAGGCTCAGTTGCGCTGATTGATTTCACTGCCTTAACTGAAACTGACAGATGTGCCAAATTCTAATTTTCTAGCCAAAAAATAATTTTAGTTGTGAAGCTCACTTTTGGGAGAGCCCCTCAAGTCTGTCTGTCACTTCCTTCTCTGTGTGGGTAATCAATGTTGAATTTAAGTTCAGACTGAGTTTCAGCTCCTATGTTAATAAAATAAAAATAGTGTTCTATGGTGTGACATCATGCTTGAGAAATGGAGAAAAAAAAAAAAGGATGAATGAATTTGCATAACTGGATATTTATATTTCCAATCACTGAAACACTACATAATATATATTCAGGTAATTTCTTGGGTTAACAATTTTGTGAGAATGGGAAGTTGTCTGTGTTCCCCTTTCTGTATAATGTATATTATGCCTTACTGTTGTCATCTTTACTGTATATTTACAGCCTTTTTTTCTGTATTATCCAAAATAACCTATATTTTTCAATAAAAGAAATCTTCAACATCTTTACTGCTGCATATTTCATTGCTGGTTGCGTCAGAAGATAATGCAGTAGAAGTGCTACTCAATCAGCAGCCTTAACAAAGGAATTCCTTGAGTGCCTTCTCTGTTTCCTGTCACTATTCTTTGGCTCTCCCAAAAGAGGAAGGAAGGAAGCAATCGAGACCTAGTTGGACATGTCTCTTAAGTATTCGCTATACAAGCTGAGAATGATGTGATGAGTCATGAGTGTGTGTGCTTGTGTGTTTGTGTGTGTGAGGGAGGGAGGGAGGGAGAGAGAGAGATAAAAGAGTGTATGCACCCTTGGGGCAGCTATATTCTCATCATGCTGGAGAGAGAGATGAACGATGATGGAGGAAAGAAAAGTTTATCATTATGGAGAACTACATTCATAAACAGTGATGACAGGTAATTCTTCTCGCCCTGCTGATTGGACAATGGATGAGTCTGGCAGCCACATAAGACTGGGGACCTGCTCATCATTATGGGCCCTGAACTGTTTTGTCACTTTTGATTTCACAGACCGTGCTTTGGCTTTTCACACCCTGGTGAACCCCCTCCCTGCCCTTTCAAAGTTCAGTGCCCTCTGTGTGGTTAACACTGGGCACAGATGGTTCAAGGTCTCATCCTGCATTCTTCTAAACATTAAAGCTGCATGCTGAAAACACCACTCCATTCTACTTTGGTGTCCTCCCCCCCCCAATTCAATTTTTCATCTCCACTTCAGGGGATGTTTAATCTGCTTCCACTTTCACTTTTTCACAGTCACATTATACCAACGTCCAATCTGCCAGAGGGCTAGAAAAAGTCATTATTCTTACACTTGTGGTAAAAACAGGCCATTTATATTGATTGTTGTGGTCAATACAAACCAGCAGGGTTATTGATCCTACTTTTCTCTCTGTATAAAGTCATTATTCTTTTTCAAGATTGTTGGGTTTTTCTTGTGAAAGACTAAATCTTCACTAGTCACCACGTTTGTTTCGAAAATTCTTGTTCTTTTTAACTGAATTATATATACTGTATCTCTTGTGCTGCTGGTCTAGCCAAGGAGCATCTCACTTTGTCTAAATCTTGTTATCTACTGCCATCTAGTGGTGGTCTGAGGCTCACATCTGGTGATGGGTGTGTCAGTGAAATGGCTGATTTGACTTTAGGGATGTAAATGGAGCTTTTTTTAATATCTTTGTATCATCTTGCACCACATAACTTAATATTAATGAGTTTTATTTTATCATTACAGTGTCTACCGAAAAACAGAAGACAAAAGATAATTTCTAACTCATCACCTAGACTGTCAAATTAGATTATTTGGTTGATTTGTAGAAGGAGGCAGGATGTGAACACAACTCTTCACGTTGTCCTGCACATTTGAACTTGATACCGGAGACAGCAGATTTGTTCAGGAGGCTCAGCTCACCTCCCTCCCCCATAGAAACCCATTGTAATTTGAGTCTGCCTTGCAGCTGTTTCTCCCTCTCACACACCCTGGATGTAGTTTCTCATCTGCTTCAGAGGCTGTCAAATGTCATTTCCCTTTGGTTTTCAGCTCTCTTTGAAAATAGTATTTTCTTACTCAGCCGCCGACGGGAGGCGCTCATTGCCTTTAGGTTTATTATGTCAGGAGCCCCAGCCTGGACCCGCAACCTTTTCCGCCAAATTCCATCAGCAGACTTGCCGCTCTTCCAGGAGGCCGACGGCATGCTGAAATCTGGAAAGTATTAAACAACCTGCTGGTGGAGGGGACTGGGGAGGGGGAGGTTGGGGGTGCAGATGAAGCAGGGAAGTAAAAAGTGGGGGATGGGGGAGAAAAGAAACAGAATGCAAAATTGTTCATATACCGCCCTTTGCCTGGCTCTGCTCCCTTTCCCCTCCCACACACACACACACACACACACACACACACACACACACACACACACGCATTAGCGTGTGAGCTACCACCCCCCCCCCCAAAAAAATAAAAAATCCAGACCACTCCCCAAGCAGCTCCAGCATTTTTCTTTTATGTTTGCAGCAGTATTTTGCAAGTCCTTTTTTTTTAATGGGTCATAAACAAACAGCCGGTTCTGCTGTGTAGTTCTGGGGGGAGAGGTAGGGGGAGTGTGTGTGGGTGTGGTATGCATATGAGAGTGTGTGTGTGTTTGTGTGGGGGAGTGTGTGTGGAGTTGTTTGCTGGCACAGAACTGGAAGGCGAGTGTGATGGTCGAAAAAAGCCCCAACTGTGTGTTTGTGGCTGGAAGCGAGAATGAAAAAACTGGATGCCATCCAGACATCCTTTCCCATGCCTTGATACACACATATCTCTGACCAAATGTATGCACAGCATCTGGGAGGGCACACTATACCCAGCGAGAAGACCTGCCCATGAGAAAACGTATAGAATCTGAACTGTGCCAAGTTTTAAGCGAGCAAGAAAGAAATTAATCTTCCAGGGAGTAACATCTGTCTTTACTGTTCCATTTTCCTTCACTCTGCTGAGATAAAGTTTGACCGTATTTCAAATGTTATTGTCATTGATGATCCTCTTGTATATTTGTTAGTCAATCTGTAAAGACATCTCTTCTTGGCTGTCTGTTTACTGATTCAGTCTCAACACTTATTGTCAAAGTCATTTATCTTTGCCTTTACAACATCTGCCTTTAGTTCAGTCTGCCAAACAAAATGTAAGACATTCAAACTAACAAACGCTATCATTAAGAGAAAAAAAAAAATCCCTTTGTGTCCTCAAAGATAGGCAGAGGTATTCCTCCAGCAGTGCACAGCGCAGCACTACGGATATTGGTGTTAACAGGAGCAGCGAACATAAACATTCCAGTACCCAGAGTTGACCTCTTGACCCCTAAACCCTGGAACTGCAAGAGACCACACACACATGGTGGGAGGAGGAGCGGGAAGAACGTGAGACTACTCCAGTGTCCTTGCCTTAAAGAGCTTCAGATGCCTGTGCTGAAGACTGAAAAATTAGCCCATCCTTTAAACATCAGTGCAGTCTTCCCGCTTGGGAATCGTTGCAGGTATGTCAGAATGTGGGTATGGCTTTCTCAGACGGAAAAGTTATTCCAAGGGAAACACGGCTCCCGTCTCTCTCTCCCCCTCCCCACAACTTCTTGTGCAATAAGCAGTTCCTTTAATGAATCTGGAGATTGTGTCATAACTTCTTGTGTTAGACTCAAAATCTTGTGTGGTAAAATGTGTTTTTCCGTCTTGCAGAACCACAATTGCTAAATGCGCCTTAAACTCAGCAGACTGAAACAATGTATTTAACAAACTTTTATTGTCCTTCTTGCTATGAATGAACAAACAAACTGCTGGAACAATATATGTAAGTATTGATGTGTTTTTCAATCATAAAATCAAATTCCACCATGATTCCTCAGATGTTCCGTCCCATTTTCTGCATGTAGGACGTGGAGGAGTCATTTTGCCATAAGCGCAGAAACAATGATTCATCCCTTCACTTTCCATTCTTCCCTTCTGTCTGTGCGGTTCTGTGCTAACCCTGTCTTTCTCCGCTGAAGAGAAGAGCGGTTCCTGCAGCCATGTGTGTCCCCAGGAGGTCTGGACTGGCCTGCACTCAGCCATGACCACATAAGATGGGGCTGGGGGCTCTGCTGCTCTAAACCCCCCTCTTCTCGGCCAGGGGCTGCTTCCCTTCCAAGGCCTGTCCACGGCTGGCTGACACTGGAGGAAGGAGAGCACACACATGCTACCCTCCCTTGTACACCCACACCTTTAGGTCGCTGTGAAATGTAAACTTCCACACACACAAATCTTTTCGTCAGTTATTGATAAAATAAATCTTTTATTCTAAAGTTAATGTATTTCCAAAAAAGCAACTTATTGTCCTTCATCTGTGAATGTAGCTCATTGGTAGGAATTTATCAGTGAACCCAGGATTGATAAAAACTGGCTTCAGATGTTGATCATACAGCGAGGCTACATCCTTGCCAACATAGACTTGGCGCCAGTCCAACAGAGGCCGTATGTCCATACAATACCCTCCTTGTTTAGTAGACACTGCATGCCCACTGTGGAGCGAAATACTCTAAAAGCTGACCAGGAAGTAAGGGATCAAAAGGGTCACTTCCCAAAGGCCAGCTTTAAACTTTGACCTTCTAGTCCTTCTCCAGCTTAATCTTCCCACTCTACTGACATAATGAGTAATACCAGTGCCACTCATTCACTGCAGGGGCACAGTGCACTGAAGGGCAGTCTCAGAGATTGATTCCTGGCGATAATGTGGAAATAAGTGGCTCCTTTTGTGCAACACATTTCTTTCATTCAGCACCTCTTTTATTCAGCAATCTATAGTTATTTTAAAAATACATTAGCCTTGCATGTTGAAAGCACATTTCTCCGGTTTCTGCAGACTAATTTCAGCTCTGCACATTCTCAAAAGTATTTTACATTAAAGGAAATTTTAAGTTTATTGCACTTATAAGCAAGTGTCAAAAACGATACCAAGATATGCAACTCAAAATACTTTTTATATCAGCTCACAGCTATGTTAAAGAGTATTTAAACTTTTCCTCATTTACTTCTTACTTCAGACTTGGCCGGGTGAGGCCTCTGAACATTCCTCCGTTAACTTTATAAAACACAGTGTCCACTGTTCACATGGGCTAAACCTCAGTGATTTCATAGTGCGCCCCGCTAATATCACTTTCCATTACAGTCTATCACCTTCCTGTTTTCATGCACCCTCCACCAGTGGAAACACTGTAGCAGCTTAAAGTCTCATTGACTCTCCTCAAATCTCAACAGCATCATAAATCAGGGCGTGTCTAGAGATAGAAAACAACACTGGAGTGAAGAATCCCAGAGCTCCATTTGGTGAGATGACTTTAAAACACACTGGGTACTGGGTGTTGGTCCTCCTTTTAACAACTCCGTCATCCAGTTTATGCACCCCTCCCTCTAGCCATGGTTCCCTCAGGGCTGAGCTGGAGAGGAGAGGGGGAAAAGTCTGGCCGATGCTGGCTCTCTTCATCATCCTACCGGC